TGAAAGTAAAAAACACTGTTTATACTAGCACTAAAATTATGAAATATTCCTAAATAATTTATGTAGCTACTCTGCCCTCAAGGAGGTGGACCATAACTCCCCATTTCCTCAGTGTGGGCTATGTGTAGTAACTTTTTCCCAAAAAGCACAATATGGAAAGGGAGAAAAAGAGAAATTTTATGATAGAGAAACCTGACAAACCCTACCTCATCTAGATGGTCAAGGTCAACATCAACAGTGATACATCCTGTTGATTGTGCATCCTTGATATGACGTGATAAAGAGGCACTTTACCTCTGTGAAAGGCTGAGAGAAAAAAGCTGCAGACCAAGGATACTCTGACAATGTTATCTTTCAGAAATGAAGGAGAAATACAGCACACTTTCAAACAACTGCTGGATCAAAGAAGAAATTAAAAAGGAAATAAAAAAATATCGAAATGAATGAAAATGGAAACACAGTATGCCAAAACCTAAAGGGATGCTGCAAACGCAATTCTATGAGGGAAGTTATTAGTAATAAACACCTATATTAAGAAAATAAAAAGATCTCAAGTAAATAACTGAACTTTACACCAGGATAAACTAGAAAAAGAAGAACAAATTAAGCCCAAAGTTAGCAAAAGGAAGGAAAAAACAAAGATAGAGCAGAAATAAATGAAACAGAGACTAGAAAAAAACAATAGAAAAGATCAATGGAGCTAAGAGCTGTTTTTAAAAGATAAATAAAATTGATTAACTTTTGCTAGATGAAGAAAAAAGAAGTACTCAAATAAAATCAGAAATGAAAGAGGAGACCTTACAACTGATACCACAGAAATACATAGAATCATAAATGACTAGTATGAATAATTACATGCAAACAAATTGGATAACCCAGAAGAAAAGGATAGATTTCTAGAAACATACAAGCTACAAAGACCAAGTCAGAAAGGAATAGAAAATCTAATTAGACTGCTAACAAGTAAGGAGGTTGAATCAGTAATCAAAAACCTCCCAACACAGAAAAGCCCAGGACCAGATGGTTTCACTAATGAATTCTACCAAACATTAATGAAGAATGAACACCAGTATTTCTCAAACTCTTCCAAAACTTAAAAAGGAAGGATCACTCCCAAACTCATTTTACAAGCCTAGAAATGCCCTGATACCAAAGCCAGATAAGGACACTACAAGAAAAGAAAACTACAGGCCAATATCCTTGATGAACATAGATGCAAAAATTCTCAACAAAATATCAGCAAACTGAATTCAATGTCATATTAAAAGGATCATACACTATGACCAAGTGGGATTTATCCCTGGGATACAAGGATGGTTGAACATACACAATGTGGGGACTTCCCTGGTGGTCCAGTGGATAGTGCTCCCAATGCAGGGGGCCCAAGTTCAATCTCTGATCAGGGAACTAGATCCCGCATGCATGCTGCAAGTAAGAAGTCTGCATACCACAACAAAGATCCCGTGTGCCACAACTAAGACCCGGCACAGCCAAAATAAATAAATATATTTTAAAAATATGCAATGTGGGGCTTCCTTGGTGGTGCAGTGGTTAAGAACCCACCTGCCAATGCAGGGGACACGGGTTTGAGCCCTGGTCTGGGAAGATCCCACATGCTGTGGAGCAACTAAGCCCATGCACCACAACTACTGAGCCTGCGCTCTAGAGCCTGCGTGCCACAACTACTGAAGCCCGCGTGCCTAGAACCTGTGCTCCACAACAAGAGAAGCCATTGCAATGAGAAGCCTGTGCACCACAACGGAGAGTAGCCCCTGCTCACCGCAACTAGAGAAAGCCCGTGCCCAGCAACAAAGACCCAACACAGCCCAAAATAAATAAATTTATAAAAAAATTAAGGATTTAAAAAAAATGCAATGTGTACCACATTACATCACATTAACAGTATGAAAGATAAAAATCATAGGACCATCTAAAGAGATGCAGAAAAAGCATTTGACAATACAACATCCTTTCATGATAAAAACTCTCAACAAATTGGTATAGATGGAACATATCTCAACATAATAGAAGCCATATACATCATTCCCAGAGCTAACATCATACTCAATGGTGAAAGGTTGAAAGCTTTTCCTCTAAGAACAGGAACAAAACAAGGGTGCCCTCTCTCACCACTCCTACTCAATATAGTACTGGAAGTCTCAGCAGAACAATCAGAAAATATAAAGAAATTAAAAGGCATCCAAATCAGAGAGGAAGAAATAAAATTGCCTTTGTTTGCAGATGATATGCTTTTATATATATAGAAAATCCTAAAGACTACACCCCAAAACTGTTAGAACTGATCAACGAATTCTGTAAAGTTGAACAATACAAAATTAATGTGCAAAAATCAGTTGCTTTTTTATACAGTAACAACAAAGTGTCTAAAAAAGAAATAAAATAATTACATTCACAATATCATCGAAACAATAAAATACTTAGGAATAAATTTAAATAAGGAGATGAAAGACTTGTATACTGAAAATGATAAGACTTTGATGGAAGAAATTGAAGACACAGATAAAGAGAAAAATATCCTGTGTACTTGGGCCAGAAGAATTAATATCGTTAGAATGTTCCTACTACCCAAAGCCATCTATAGATTCAGTGCAATCCCTATCAAAATTCCAATGGTATATTTCACAGAAATAGAAAAAAGAATTCTAAAACTTTCTGTGGAACCACAAAAGACCCCTAATAGCCAAAGCTATCAGAGGAAAAAAAGAGCAAAGCGAGAATCATCCCACTTCCTAATTTCAAACTATACTACAAAGATATAGTAAGTAAAACAGTGTGGTCCTGACATAAAATTAGACACATAGACCAATGGAACAGAATCAAGAGCCCAGAAATAAGACCCTGCATATATAGTCAACTAATACTTGACAAGGGAGTCAAGAACACTCAGTAGGAAAAGTATAGCCTCTTCAAAAAATGGATAACCACATGCAGAAAAATGAAATTTGACCTCTATCTTAAACCACTCACAAAAGTTATCTTGAAATGGATTAAAGACTTAAATGTAAGACCTGATGCCATAAAACTTCTAAAAGAAAACACAGGGAAAAGTTATTTGACATTGGACCAGGCAATTATTTTTTGGATATGACACAAAAAGCACAAGCAACAAAAGCAAAAATCAACAAGTGGGACTACATCAAACTGAAAAGCTTTTGTACAGGAAAAGAAATAATTTTAAAAATGAAAAGGCAACTTATGGAATGGGAGAAAATATTTTCAAAGCATATATCAGATAAGGGGTTAACATCCAGAATATGTAAAGAACTCATACAACTCAATAGCCAAAAAACCCAAACAGTCCATTTTTTTTTAAAAGGGCATAAGAATTAAATAGACATTTTTCCAGAGAAGAAATACAAATGGCTAACAGGTACATAAAAGATGCTCAACATCACTAATCAGCATGGAAATACAAATCAAAATCTCAATAAGATATGACCTCACACCTGTTAGAATGACTATCATCAAGAAGGCAAGAGATAACAAGTGTTGGTGAAGATGTGGAGATAAGGGAACCCTTGTACACCGTTGGTGGGAATGTAAATTGGTGTATCCATTATGGAAAACAATATAGAGTTTCCTCGAAAAATTAAAAATAGAATTACCATATGATACAACAGTTCTACTTCTGGGTATATATTCAAAGTAAATGAAAATAGGAATTTGAAGAGGTATATGCATTCCCATGTTTATTTCGGCATTATTCACAGTATGGAAACAACCTGAGTGTTTGTCAACAGATGACTGGATAAGGAAGTTGTAGCATATATACAATGGAATTTATTCAGCCATGAGAAAGAAAGAAACGCTGATATTTGCAACAACGTAGGTGGACTTTGAGGGGATTATGCTAAGTGAGATTAATTCAGACAAAGAGAGATACTGTATGATATCACTTATATGTGGAATCTTAAGGCGAACTCATAAATACAGAGAGTAGAATGATGGATATTAAACGTTAGGGGTTGGGGAAATGGGATACGTTGTGTAACGGTACAAATTTGGAACTAGGAGATAAGTCCTGGAGAGCTAGTGGACAGCATAGTGATTATAGTCAATACTACTGTATTATAAACTTCAAAGTTGCTAAGGGACTAGACCCTAATTGTTCTGGCCACAAAAAAGACATGAAAATTAGGTGAGGCGATAGACGTGTTAGCTAACACTAAGATGGTAATCATATTGCAATAAATAAATGTATCAAATCAACATGTTGTATACCTTAAACTTATACAATGTTATATATCAATTATATTTCCGTTAAAAAGGAATACGAATTACATGGTGTGATTTCTTAATTGGAACTCAAAGAATAACTTTTTTGAAATATTATGTAGGGTGGTATTAAATACTGTAATATTTTCTCCAATTACCTAACCATGCAAGAAACCAAAGCAAAGGAAAAGCGGAGAATTTTGCTGCTTCTCATGTCCCATTGGTTGCACCTCCTTTTTATGGGTTCTTGGTCAAAGGTGACTCCAGGTCCAGGTAGTAAAGAAGATTGTTCATTATAGCTCAGCCCGTCCCTTTTACGATCTCTATTTTTACCTCACGCATAGCACGCCTTTATAATTATTTTCCATTTATATTTCCAATTTCTGTCAGGGAACAATGAGAAAAAGAAAACGCAAGCCAAGTTCTACAAGCGCCCCAAGACTCCACCTGCTGATTCAAAAATAAAATTGCAGACAGGCGGGAAGCTCAGCCCTACAGAGGATTCTGGGACGTGTAGTCTCGACGCTTCCTGTGATTGGGGCACTTCCGCTCCAGGAAAGCGCGGATGTGTTAATCGAGCCGCTGGGGAAATAGAAGAGTACAATCCAGTGCTGTGCGTGTTTGGAGGCATTTCGGATACCGGAGGGCGAGAATACGAAGCCGCCCCTTTCGTGGATTCTGGGAAATTGGATTCAGGCCGTCGATGTTGGAGTCGGCACTTTCGCCACGGGGGGCGGGGCAGCGGCTCTTGTTCCTCTCGGGGATGCTGGGAAATGTAGTCCAGGAGCTCCGCGTAGTCGGAGGTATTTCCGCTTCAGGAGGTTGCGATTGCGGCCTTCGGCTCTCTCTGGGAGGTGAGTGATCTTTGGGAGCCTGCGATTTCTTTTAACTTTTCTGATCTGGTCCTGGGATCAGCCGGGCTCGGTCCTCGGTCACAGGGCAGAAAAGCCTTGACCTGCGGCAGAGGGCGGGGTGGAGGGGCGGGGGCGGCCGCTTGCCTTCCCCTCGCCCGATTCTCTGCGTTTGCGGCGGTTCGCAAGTCCTCGGATGGTAGGCGGACAGAAATCGGCAGTTTGTCTCCCGGGCTCCTTGCCGTCCAACCCGCCTCCCCCCAGTACCTTCCTTCCACACGCTCTGTTACTTCCTAGCGACATAAGGTTGGATGAGAATTTAATCTTTCTGTGCCTTGGTTTCCTTTTCTGTAAAAAGGGATATTACGAGTACCTGCATTATACAAGATAAATGTTTCGGACAGATCAGGCGTGTGGCAAGGTGTCAGCTGTTAACGATATGATAATCAGAAAAGCTTCGCTTTCGGTGGAAACTCCTCGAAGTGCCACTGGCACTTCTTTCTGATCCCTGCCGGAAAGGAGGCTGTGCCTGGACGACTTCTGACCCGTTTTTAAAGAAAAAGTGGGTCACCCACAGATACCCGCTGTAGTTTTCTCAGGACCACAAAATCGTTGTGTCTCCCAGCCTCCTTTCCTTCTCCTGCCCTGGTGCCTGAAAAGGGGGGGCTGTAGAAAAGAGAGGAGTGAGCCCAGGGCTTCTGGTAGCAGAGCCCCACCGTGGCAGGACTTAGAATCTTCCTTTTCTGTTCCAGTGGTAGAAGGTATTTTATTCATTAGTAAATATTTCTGCTACAAAAGCGTTCAGTTACTGTTAAATAATTATGAAAATATGTAGATCGTGTACAAGGCATGAGTGGTAATCAAAATAGTTAAACATTGAGTCCTAAGTCTCATCCTAAGGGCTTTATAAAAATTAGTGCATTTAACCTTCACAAGGCCCTATGAAGTGAATACTTTTATTACCTCTATTTTACAGATGAGAAAATGGAGATAGAGCATAAGTTACTTAAGAGCAGTGGGATTTGAGTCTAGGGCTTGCGTTCCTTATATCCTTGGATATCCTTGGTCCCCTAGTTTAAAATCCCAAAACTGGAATTAGGAAACAAAATAGAAAAACAGTCTATCGAAATATTCAACCATAGGAAACTGGCTGCAGAGGAGGCATTTGGCATCAAATTGTGGAGGTAGGTTGGAATTTTATTGTAGAGGATTTGAAAGCAGGGTTAGTGAGTTTGGGTGTCTTCGTAAGAATTTGAGGGCTTCCCTGGTGGTGCAGTGGTTACGAATCCGCCTACCAATGCAGAGGACATGGGTTTGAGCCCTGGTCCGGGAGGATCCCACATGCTGTGGAGCAACTAAGCCCATGCGCCACGACTACTGAGCCTGCGCTTTGGAGCCCGCGAGCCACAACTACTGAGCCCGCGTGCCTAGAGCCCATGCTGTGCAACAGGAGAAGCCACCACAATGAGAAGCCCGCACACCGCAATGGAGAGTAGCCCCAGCTCGCCGCAACTAGAGAAAGCCCACGCACAGCAACAAAGACCCAACGCAGCCAAAAATAAAATAAATAATAAAAGTAAATACATTTTAAAAAATTGAAAGCATTCTCATTTAATCTTATTTTAAATATTCATAGTTTATATTCCAATTATAGAAGAAATGCACATTCATTGTAGAGAATTCAGAAAATGTAGAGATATGATGTAATGAAAAACATTAAGAAATACCAATATAGATGTATATGTTGTAACGTATAGGATATGTATGACATATATAGGACATAGACATATAAGATATAGATGATTATTAACATTTCAGTGCATTTCTGTTTGTCAGTTTTTCAGTGTGTATTTATGTTATACAAAATTGTTTATCAGATTATTCATATCCTTAACTCTTTTTTTGTAAATTTATTTTATTTATTTATTTTTGGCTGTGTTGGGTCTTCGTTGCTGTGCACAGTCTTTCTCTAGTTGCGGTTCGCGGGCTTCCCATTGCGGTGGTTTCTCTTATTGTAGAGCATGGGCTCTAGGCGCACGGGCTTCAGTAGTTGTTGCGCACAGGCTCAGTAGTTGTGGCTCGTGGGCTCTAGAGCGCAGACTCAGTAGTTGTGGCTCACGGGCTTAGTTTCTCCGTGACATGTGCGATCTTCGCGGACCAGGGCTTGAACCCGTGTCCCCTGCCTTGGCAGGCAGATTCTTAACCACTGCCACCAGGGAAGCCCCATATCCTTAACTCTTAATTCTGGAAATTTCCAGACAACCCAAAGTATAATATCAATATAATGAATTCCTGTGTAACAGTCACCCTGCTTCAGTCCTTACTAACCTTGTTGCATCTCCCTCTCCCCATGCACACATTTTTCCCATTGAGTATTTTAAAGCAAACCCAGATGTTGAGTTAGTAGGACTTAAAAATTAATTATAATAAGTTGTTTATATACGAAGACCAAGGGAGGGGAGATTGTATTAGTTTGCTAAGGCTGCTGGAATAAACTATTACAGCCTGAATGGCTTAAACAATAGAAATTAATTTTCTTACAGTTCTGGAGCTGGGAGTCCAAGATCAAGGTATCAGCAGGTTTCGTTTCTTCTGAGGCCTCTCTCCTTGGCTTGTAGATGGCTGCCTTCTTGCTGTGTCCTCCCGGTCTTTCCTTTGTGTGTGTGTGCGTGCCCCTGCTGTCCCTGTTTGTGTCCAAATTTCCTCTTAGAAGGACACCAGTCAGATTGATTTAGGGCCCACCCTAATGACCTCATTTTAACTTAGTCACCTCTTTAAATGCCCATCTCCAAATACAATCACATTCTGAGGTCCTGGAGATTAGGACTTTAACTTATGAGTTTGGGGCTGGGGGGTGGGTCACAATTTAGCCCATAACAGGTATTAACAGCAACTCTAAGATTTTCACACATGGCAACTAGGAGAATGTTATTTATATGAGAAAGTTAGAAAGAGTTGCAGTTATGGAAGGAAAATGATGAATTTCCTTTGCTCCTTTGGAGTTGCACTTGCCACAGAGCATGTAACTCTCAGTTTCATCTCTCTCTCTTGTTAGGCTACAGGGTCCTCTGATTCATGGATCTGGTCATATTCTTCTCGGAGTGCCCAGCACGGGGTCGGCAGAGAGGAGTTGTTCAGTAAGTGTGATTCATGCAGCTGCCCAAAAGGGCTGCAGCCTGTGATTAGAGAACAAAAATAGAACGACAGTCTATAACCATATGCCTTGTCTGATACCTCACTTACTTCTGGGGAGATGTAGAATCCACCAACTTTTCCGGAGCTTTCAAAAGTTAATGTATGATCATGCCTAGTATCGTCATGCTCTAAAACAAATTTCCTAGAAAACAAATGAATTCTTTTAAAAAATTGAAGTATAGTCGATTTACAGTGTCATGTTAGTTTCAGGTGTACAGCACAGTGATTCAGTTATACATGTGTGTATATATACATTTAAAAAGAATCCATCTTTTTTTTTTCTTTTTTTAATTGAAGTATAGTTGGTATACAATGTTGTGTTAGTTTCTGGTGTACAGCAAGGTTAATCAGTTATACATATATGTATATATTCTTTTTCATATTCTTTTCCATTATAGGTTATTACTAGAAACTGAGTATAGTCCCCTGAGCTGTACAGTAGGTCCTTGTTGGTGATATATTTTATACATAGTAGCATGAATATATTTATCCCAAACTCCTAATTTTCCCCCCCCTTCCCCTTTGGTAACCATAAGTTTGTTTTCCAATCGATGTTAATGTTCAATTTTTTTGTTTAATATGCAGGGAATCAGCAACCCACCTCCACAGATTCTGATTTAATTAGTTTTAGATAAGGTCTGAGCTTTTTTTTTTTTAATAAATTTATTTATTTATTTATTTTTGGCTGTGTTGGGTCTTCGTTGCTGCGCGCGGGCTTTCTCTAGTTGCGGCAAACGGGGGCTACTCTTTATTGCGGTGCATGGGCTTCTCATTGCGGTGGCTTCTCGTGTTGTGCAGCACGGGCTCTAGGCATGCAGGCTCAGTAGTTGTGGCACACGGGTTTAGTTTCTCCTTGGCATGTGGGATCTTCCTGGACCAGGGCTCGAACCCGTGTACCCTGTATTGGCAGGTGGATTCTTAACCACTGCTCCACCAGGGAAGTCCCAAGAGGGCTGTTTTTGACTGATGCTACTCAAATTGTGATCCAGGGACCAACAGTATCATCACCTGGCATCTCAGTAATTATATTTTGAATGAATGATTCGGGAGATAAATCACGAGGCCCTGATCTACATGGTGCGTCTTTCAGTTCTTCGTTCCAGCAGTCATTCTGTGAATCTTTGTTGAGTTCCTGGCAAGCGCCTGCAGCAGCGTCCTAACTGTCGGGGACACAGCAAGAAACAAAACTCCCTGTGGGACAGATGTGATGAATATAAATGAGCAAAATACCTAGTAGGATGTTAAAGAGTGATACGTGCTAAAAAGAAAAGAATTAAGCAGGGATGGGGTGCGTCAGAAGTGTTGGGATGTCATTAGGAGATTGAAATTCTCTGTAGGGAGGAACTGTCTGAGGAGGTGACATTCAAATAAAGAAGGACGTGATTCTTGGTGTGGCCCTGGTAACAGTCTCTCTGGCCCCAGCCCCTTCCCCCTCAGATCTCCCATTTGCTGGGAGAGTGATCTGTTTCCAACACCAAAGGAATCTTCTGACTCTCCCTTCCTTTGCTGCTTTCCTGCTGACTTGCCGATAAACTGGGACGCCCGTCATTATGGTTTGAATCCTGCCTTCCTGCCCAGCTTTTTCTGCCTCTTGTTTGTGTTCACTTACAGTTGTAACATTTGTTCTCTTGAGGTTTTTCAGAGATTCTGCTTCTCTCTGGCTAATAGAACTCAGTCATTCTCCAGGGCTCAGATCAAGCCACATTGATGTAGAACCTGCTCCAAACAAGTGTGGTCCCCAAGGCCCATAACTTGTGCTTCTAAAGTACCCAGTTCACTACCCTGGTACTTAGCAATGTGCAGGGTGATTGCTGGTTTCCTAATCACTAGACTGTGAACTTGAGTAGTCATATCTTTTAGTCTGATTTCCATAAATGTTCATTGAATTAATACACTCATTTTTTAATGAAGAGTTAACAAGTTATCCTGTCTAGTGCTAATCATGCAGGCAATTAAATAGTTGTCATTCTCAGTGTTTTGATGGATACACTCTGTGGATTTTGTAACAGGAGTCTCTTTAGACATTGACTTTGAAGGGTGGGAAGCACCTTCCTAAGGCAGTATTAAAAATCCAGAGGCCCTTTTCCTTCCAAAGATGACCTTGATCTTGCAAATATTGTGGAAGACCTAGAAGAAAAACTTGGAAATAAAACCCCTGCTCTCCCAATCCTCCCAAGTGGGAGCAGCCTCAGAATTTTGCCTCTCAAAGAGACCTTTGACCAACAAGCCTAGTCTTTTTATGTGCCTCTGCTGGAATGAACCTGTTTGGGGGGGGCTCATGTGTCAGGACACTGACTGCTGTGTGATCACTGTGTTACAGGCACTGCTTTAGGTGCTTGGGATGTAAAGCTGAGTTACTATTAATCCCCAAACAGACAGTGATTTACTGATTATCCCCTTTCCACAGAGGTAGCGGAAAGATCTCCCTGTAAAGCACTTCTTACTGAGCAGAAGTCACTGGACAAATATAGAGTCAGAACAAGGTGAATTACAAATCCTGAAAGGATATCTCTTCTAAGATTGGAAAGTTTTACACTGCCCTTTTCCGTACAGGGTTCTTCTATCTGGAGTAGGACTAGCTAATAATAATAAACTAATAAGTAATTAATGAACCAATAATTAACTGATACTGATCTCTTAAGCTGGATCTCTTACTCTCAATTTGCACACTCCCCAGAATCAATCATACTCTGACAGCTACGAGAACTTGTATTAGGGCCACTGTGTGTGGTTGGGCAGGTCGTTCACTGCACCAGGGCTCTTGGTTGAAGGCATAAGTGGCGTCTGGAATCCTGCCCACGTCTGCTCATCAAGCCGTGTGCGGTTGCAGCCACCCCAAGGAAGAGCTTCCTTGACTATTTCATGTAAAGCAGCCCTAGTGAATGTTTAAGCTGCCAGATACTGTTCCACATGTTTTATGGAGAGTCACTTAGACTGACTAACCTTCCTATGTATTATTATAATTATATTACTATATTATACATAATTATATTATATGAATATATTATCTATATAATATATAATTATAATATATTGTATTACAATTATATAATTATAATAATTATTGTTATTATTATAACCATCCCTAATTTATAGATTAGACCTTGGGTCTAAGTAGTAACAAGTTGGAGGTGGCAGGATTCAAATACTGGGGGTCTGATTCCAGAGCCTACACCCTTCCCAACCCTGTTCTCATCTACTTCAAGCAGATCATCTGGCTTCAGAGTTCTCTCCCTGTTTCTATGTCAGTCTTTTATCCCTAGCTGTCAAGCTCTCGTTTCTCTTTGCATGAGACCTCAGACTCCCATCTGTTTATTTTTTTCTTTAGAAGCAGTAGAGAGACAAGACCTAGAAGACTGGCTTCTTTGTGAGAGCTGGATTCAGGTTCCGCCCCTGCCCCTTGACCTCACCAAGCCTCAGCTTCCTCATCTGTTACGTGAGAACAACAGCCATCATCGTCATCATTTATTGAGAACTTGGTAAAATGCCAGGTACAATGCCAAGGGCGTTTAGCTCATTCATCCACCACAGTAACCCTAGGACTGACCTTTTTTTTTTTTCTCTCCTTGTTATAGTTGAGGAGAGGCACAGAGGTGGAGGTGATCAGACTGGAGTCACACGGCTAGTACACCCCTAGCTTCTTCACAGGTATGTGGGAGGTACCTTAGTGGAACAATGCGTGCCAAGTGCTTCTCAAGGTCCCTAACACATACTTAGTGCTTATGTAATGTTAAACATTGCTGTTTTTGTTGTTTTCATCATTACTATGATTAGCTTGTTCATTTAAGTGGCATGTTGACTAACTGACTGTTAAATCACAGGATTCTATTCATTTTTCTTCATCTCCATGATGATAGTGTTTTTAAGGCCCTACTGTTAACAAAGTCAAATTGTCAAGGTCTGGGGCTACCCTGGTGGCGCAGTGGTTGAGAGTCCGCCTGCCAATGCAGGGGACACAGGTTCGTGCCCCGGTCCAGGAAGATCCCATCCGTGGCTGGGCCCGTGAGCCATGGCCGCTGAGCCTGCGCATACGGAGCCTGTGCTCCGCAACGGGAGAGGCCACAACAGTGAGAGGCCCGCGTACCGCAAAAAAAAAAAAAAATTGTCAAGGTCTTACATCTTTGAAAAAGCTGTCATCCACAATATCAGATTCATAGAGAAAGTAGAATAGTGGTTACTCGGGACCGAGAGGAAGGGGAATGGAGAGTTAGTGTTTAATAGGTACAGAGTTTCAGTTTGGGATGGTGAAAAAGTTGTGGAGATGGTTAGTGGTGATGATTCACAACAATATGAACGCACCTAACGAGCTCTACACCTAAAAAATGGTTGAAATGGAAAATTTTATGTGATGTGTATTTTACACAGGAAAAAAAAATCAATGTAATCTTAAATATTACTGCAAAGGCATCAAATTGAATATGACAAACCAAGAGAGAATAACAGATATTGCAGAGGTTAAAGGTGATTTTCATACAACAAAGCAACAGCCTTTTAAGGCTCCATTAAAGCTATTGGTGAGGACAAGTTTTATGTTACTGAATATTACCTGCTTTCTGCTGCTACTGAGAAATAAGTTGCCCTGAAAGTGTTCTTTGAACTTTCTACCTACTTATTTAATTCTTACAACAATCCTATGAGATAGCTGTTGTTAATCCCTCTATTTTTACAGATGGGAGAATTGAAGCACAGAGATAATAATAATTTGTCTAAGATTTCACAGCTAATATGTCACAGTTTCATGAACCTAGACATTTGGCCCCAGAAATTACTCTCTTAACCTGGGTACTTTACTCTCAATTTCCGCCCTCCCCAGAATCAGAATCATACCCTGAGAGCTACACGAACTTGTATGAGGGCCTGTGTGTGGTTGGGTGGCTCGTTCACTGCCCAGGGGCTCTTGGCTGAAGGGGTGAGTAGCATCTGGAATCCAGCCCAGGCTTTGCTCATCAGGCCACCCTGAGGAAGCGGCACTGTTGCTGCTTCACAGTAAGCAGCCATATGGGTCAGTGACACCCTTGGCCAGACTCTGATGGCTTTTTTCTCCTTCCCCCATTGTGCCTGCCCAAGACTCAGCGCTTCCCCAGAAGGAGGAGGACAAAATGACCAAGCTCAAGGTGAGTTGGGCCTGCCCTTCTAGGTGTTAACTTGTCACCTCATTTCTCAGTGATAAGACACATCCTATTTCTCTTTCTTGGGAAAGATTAAAGAGAACAGTAGGCATTTGGAAAACTCTTCCCAAGAAGAGGGCCGAATGATCCCTACTTTTTATTTTTGTTTGATTTATTTTTGTTGTTTTATCACCTTTTGTAATTTCACAAATAAGAGTAGAACAGAAAAAGTCAATTGCAACTAAAAAAATCTCTCACGTTATTACTGTTTCCCTTACAAAACAACATTTTCCCATGTTCTTTTCCTCATATGCGTTCATAACTGTATATTTGTAATTCCTGTAGCATAAACTTCTCAAATTATACCTTTTCTAATTGATATTATATATCCCACACCTTTAATGGCAACATCATATTCCCTTGAATTTGTGTGCATTGTGTGTGTGTCTCATAACTTTTCCCCATTCATGGACATTTAGGTAGTTTAGAATTTTTATCATTTTTAAGAACACTGAAGGGGCTTCCCTGGTGGCACAGTGGTAAAGAATCCACCTGCCAGTGCAGGGGACATGGGTTTGATCCCTGGTCTGGGAAGATCCCACATGCCGTGGAGCAACTAAGCCCATGCACCGCAACTACTGAGCCTGTGCTCTACAGCCCGTGAGTCTCAACTGCTGAGCCTGCATACCAAAACTACTGAACCCCGTGTGCCTAGAGTCTGTGCTCCGCAATAAGAAGCCATCGCCATGAGAAGCCCGTGCACTGCAACAAAGAGTAGTCCCTGCTCGCCGCAACTAGAGAAAGCCTGTACGCAGCAATGAAGACCCAACACAGCCAAAAAGAAATAAAAATAACTTTTAAAAACAAAACAAAACACTGTAATAACAGTTTTCCTAATACAACCAATTTCCTCAAAAGGGAATTTGGAAGAATTTGCTATTCTTTGGTCTTAATGTTCTAGGTACTCTAAATTGACAAAGTACATTTGCTATGCAGTACCTCGGGTATTTTGTATGTAGAATATTCCAGAATGGCAGAGTGCACCAGGATCTAACTAACACTTCACACAGAGAAAATATTATTAGATATTTTCATGTAAGAAAGCTAGATTGTTTCTTACCCATGTCTGAATCATATCATGTGCATGTTTTATTTATTGATTTATATTTTTTATTCACATATTAATGAATTTTTTCAAAGTACTAATGTACTTAATTTTAAAAGTACAAAAAGACCTGTACAGAGACTTTTCATTTCTTAACTGCATTTAGTCTCAGACCAACCTTATGAGGCCAAACTTGGTCTCCTCTGCATTTTAATGACAAAGAAACAGGATTGTAGAATTTCAGAAAACTGCTCAAGTTCACATAGGAAACCAAACATGCACCTGATCCAAAAAAGACTCCTAGGATTTTTACTTGGATAAAGAGAGTGAGACAAGGGAAAAGAATTCTCCACCTGGGACTTAGCCTATTCTGTGGGGTGCCTAGTTGTCCTGGTGGGTGGAAGACTCCATAGATGATACTGTCCCTACCATAGATCACTCTCGGTGGCCCCTTCTTCTCCATGACCTCTGTTGCTCATATAAGGCACTGGATGTGCAGGGCTCTGGCACTGAACACAGTCTTTGTACGAAAAATTTTAAAAATGCTGTATACGAGTGATTCTTAATTATGGGCGATCTTACCCTCAGGTAACATCTGGAAACATTTTTAGTGTCACAGCTTGGGAGTGCTACTGATATCTAGTGTGTAGAAGCCAGGGATGCTGCTAAACATCCTACAGTGAACTCAGCAGCCCCCTGCCCCACCCCCAACAAAGAGTCATCTGTCCTCAAATGTCAGGAGTGCCAAGGATGAGAAAGCATGCTGTACCCAAAGCTGTACAAGAACAATAGAAGAATGTGGGTAAAAATATTTATAATACACACCCTAAAAAAAAAAAGCTTAAAACCTCTAATAGGAATTTTACAGAATCCTAAGATAAAACCCCAATTGGAGTATGAGCAAAGAACATTAACAGGCAAGGTTCTGAAGAAAAAAATGAAGATAGCTAGTAAATATGTGAAAATATGATGAGCTTATTACTTATCAAATAAGTACAGATAATCCAAATAAGTTGTTTTTTACTGATAAAATTGCCTAGGATTTAAAAATATGGTTATATTCAATGTGTATGGTTTAGAGAATCAGGGATACTTATATACTCTTGGAGGAGGATAAAATAAGGGAAAAGTTGAAAAGAAAATCTGCTGTTGTACATAATTATTTTGAAGCTGCCTATTCTTTGACATTGCAGTTTTCACTCTTTGGAACTTATTCTAAGAAAATAATTGGATGGGAAGCAAAAATCTATGTAAAAAGTTGTTCTTCTCCGCATTTATTGTGAAAAGAAGAAAATCTAAAACATAAATGCGTTATGGGGAATGTTTATGTTACGGTAAAATTGACTCTGGTCTCTCAGAATCTGGAACCACTTCGTACACATCGTCCCCACTTTCCTCAGTGCTGCCCTTTCATCAGGGGACCTGCATTGCAAGGTTCAGGTGGAGTGTGTTTGATGTCTTAGGAGGTGGTGACCTTCAAGGACGTGGCCGTGGTCTTCACGGAGGAGGAGCTGGGGCTGCTGGACTCTGCCCAGAAGAAGCTGTACCAGGAAGTGATGCTGGAGAACTTCCAGAACCTGGTCTCAGTGGGTGAGGAAGGGCACTCTGGGACAGAACATCGCATCAGCCCCTGTGGTATTTATTTACATGTCCTTGAATGGGCAGGGCTTTGGAGCTCTTGAACTGGTTTCCGGTTTTCTAATCAGCATGAGACTCAGAGATGGCGTTTTCTAGTCTTTCTCCCCAGGCCAAAGTGTGTTTGTAAACGAACTGTTAATTGACCACGTGACTGCTGTATGTTTTCTGGCTTTTCAAATTGTGGTCGTCTCCAGTTAGTAGGTCATGACACTCTTTAGGGAATCGTAATAAAATAGGGTAGAAGATACCAGAGCCCTTGGCAATAACTGCATGTTGCAGTAAAAACTGTGGCCCATTGCCAAGAATAGTGTGAGAAATGGTGAAAAGGGTGCGATGAAAATAATGTTTTCCCATAATTTATGCTTATGTCTACCTATCCTCGGTTTTTGCATAAAATGTATTTCCTCCCATGGGTCATAATTAAAAGAGTTTGGAAAACACTGATTTTGATGTCCTGAAGACAGTGCAGTGGGAACCACAATTTCTCTTAATTTGGGCATCTAACATATTGATTTTAAATGTTTTTCCTTGCCTTTTTTGCAGGGCATCAATCATTCACACCAGATGTAATATCCCAGTCAAAGAGAGAAGAAAAGCTTTGGATGATAAAGATAGCAACCCAGAGCCGTCGCTCCTTGGGTGAGAGCCATGTGACCCTGAGTCTGTCCTGCTTCTTGTTGCCTCCACAGCTGTGACTCTGGTCCAAGTCAGCACCTAGACTGTGGATTACTGCCTCAGTCTTTGTAATTCTCTCTCTTCTGCTTTGCTCATTCACAGTTAATTCTCCACTCAGAGTGACTCTTTTAAATTCAAATCTTGTCATTTCTCTGCTCAGAACCTCTTGTAGCTTCTTACTGATTCAGAATAAAATCCCATCATTGAAAGTGGCTTATGATATCCCATATGCCCACCAGTTTTTGCCATGATTTTTTTTTTTTGGCCACACCGTGTGGCTTGTGAGATCTTAGTTCCCTGATCAGGGCTCGAGCCTGGGCCCTTGGCAGTGAGAGTGTGGTGTCATAACCACTGGACCGCCAGGGAATTCCTTGATTTTGTGATCATCACGATTTTCTCATCAGTAACATCCACGTAGGTTAGCCCTGCATCTAGTGAAGCCTTTCAGCTTCCCAACAACATGGCTGTTTCCACTTTCTTTCCTGCTATGGGTAACTTACTTGAAAACCTCTTTTACTTTTGTACCATGGCTCTAACTCTCACAGAGATGTCAAACTGGGATTTATTTATCCATTCAACATGTACTTATTGAACACTGACTGTATCAGACAGGGTTCTGGGAGTGGTGATAAACCAGTGAATAATACAAAATGCTTGTCCTCATGGGTATCACATTGAAGTGGGAGATGACATAAAATGAAAAAGATCAAGGATGTATGTAGTATGTCAGATAGGAATATGTGCTGTGTAAAAACAAAACAGGGTAAGGCAAATGGAGATTGCCAGGTGCGTAGAATGGATAGGGAGAATTTACTATATGATATTGTATGGTAAAAGATGACTCACAGGGGCTTCCCTGGTGGCACAGTGGTTGAGAGTCCGCCTGCCGATGCAGGGGACACAGGTTCGTGCCCCAGTCCAGGAAGATCCCACATGCCGCTGAGCGGCTGAGCCGGTGAGCCATGGCCGCTGAGCCTGCACATCCGGAGCCTGTGCTCCACAACGAGAGAGGCCACAACAGTGAGAGGCCCGCGTATTGCAAAAAAAAAAAAAAAAAAAGAGGCCTCACAGATAAGGTGTTATTTGAAAAGACACCTGAAAAGAAGTTAGTAGCAAGCTATATGTCTAATCAGTGGAATAGAGTTCCAAGGAGAACGTAACTCTTCCGGTCCAATGTTGATTTCGAGACTCTGTATTATGCCCTATTTATTTCCTCCTCGCAACTTCTTGCTCTATTATAAAAGATAACCTTCTAATTTTTCACTTTTTTTTTTTACCCCTGGTGGTTGTAGGAACTTTACTGTTATGAGGTTTTAGAATAATGTATGTTATTACAGTAACATACTAATTCCAAAACCTGGCTTTGATTTTTTTTCCAGCTAACCCTTTCAGTGTTGTGAAGAACTGGCTCTGTGGCCAGGGAAAGTAAAGTTTACAGCCCATTTGTAAGGATATTTCCCAGGAGGAGGCAAAGAACCACTCTCTGCTTATAGTCTGAACTTTAGGGCCTTAGGTGATAAGGTATTTCTCCCAGACATGTATCTTTCCAACTTATTTATTGCCTCAAAGTCTCCTTCCATTGGAGTAAACTTCCATTAAAATAAAGCAGAGGTTTTTCAACATTGTCTGGGGACATCCTCTGATAATCTGTCTAAGGGTCTTACTAGACATTTTGAGTATTTTGGTCAGATGTGCATGCAGTAGGCAGAATTATGTGGAAGCTGTTTATTAGCCACCTGCTACAGCAAAGAAGATAAGGCTTTGAGTAAGGTACAGCTTTGTCTTTGTAAACATTCCCTAGGAGGTATTTTTCTTGCTCTGTAGCCATCATATTTCTAATTTATATCTCACCTACGAAACTTACTATGATTCTAAATGGATTCCACTAATGTGTAGTGAATGACAGCCTGGTGGGCCGCCTTTTGGTGTCTGGAGGCATGTAAATCAGAGAACATGATACATGATGTTAAAGAAAAACAGAAGCTTTTTGAGGTTCAGTAAAGCCTTAGGGTGTGGGCCTAAGTTTATAACCTTGACATCTCTGAGCAAAGCATTCACATGCCCCATCTCTAAATTCTATTTATCCATTTAGGAGACAAGAATCTAAATGGCATGGAGACTCTTCAGAAAGTTGGATTAAGGTATCTGCCACATGAAGAGCTTTTCTGCTCACAAATATGGCAACAGGTTACAAAGGAATTAACCAGGTGTCAAGATTCCATGGGAAATATTCAAGGAACTGGCTCTCAGATGGAAAAACAAGGTGGCACACTCAGTAAAGATGAGGAGTTTGGTAAAGACTTCAATCAGACTTCACATCTTCAAGTTCACCGCAGAGACCACACTGGAGAAAAACCCTACAAAGGGGTAGAGTGTGAGAAAGGTTTCATACGGGACTCTCACCTTCAAATGAACCAGACAGCCCACGTAGGAGAGAAGCCCTACAAGTGTGAAAAATGTGAAAACGCCTTCCGTCGGCTTTCAAGTCTTCAAGCCCATCAGAGAGTCCACAGTAGAACAAGACTGAACAAATATGATATGTCATGTAAGAGTTTCAGTCAGAGGTCATATCTTCGTCATCATCAGAGGGTCCCCACTGGAGAGGATCCACACAGATTTGAGGAGTGTGGGAGGAATGTCGGGAAAAGCTCACATTGTCAAGCTCCTCCCATAGCCCACACATTGGAGAAACCCTATAAATGTGAGGAGTGTGGACTGGGCTTCAGTCAGCGCTCCTATCTTCACATCCATCAGAGAGCCCACACAGGAAAGAAACCTTATAAATGTGAAGAGTGTGGGAAGGGCTTCAGTTGGCGTTCACGCCTACAGGCTCATCAGCGAATCCACACTGGGGAGAAACCCTACAAATGTGAGGCATGTGGCAAGGGCTTTAGTTACAGCTCACACCTGAACATCCACTGTAGAATCCACACAGGCGAGAAACCCTTTAAGTGTGAGGAGTGTGGGAAAGGCTTCAGTGTGGGTTCCCATCTCCAAGCCCATCAGATAAGTCACACGGGAGAGAAACCATACAAATGTGAGGAGTGTGGCAAGGGCTTCTGTCGGGCCTCAAATCTTCTGGACCATCAGAGAGGCCATAGTGGTGAGAAACCATATCAGTGCGATGCATGTGGAAAGGGCTTTAGTCGTAGCTCAGATTTTAACATTCATTTTAGAGTCCATACAGGAGAAAAACCCTATAAGTGCGAGGAGTGTGGGAAAGGTTTCAGTCAGGCCTCAAATCTTCTGGCCCATCAAAGAGGCCACACTGGAGAAAAACCATACAAATGTGGTACATGTGGGAAGGGCTTCAGCCGGAGTTCAGATCTTAATGTTCATTGTCGAATCCACACGGGAGAGAAACCCTATAAATGTGAGAAGTGTGGGAAGGCCTTCAGTCAGTTCTCAAGCCTTCAAGTGCATCAAAGAGTCCATACCGGAGAGAAACCATACCAGTGTGCAGAGTGTGGTAAAGGCTTCAGTGTGGGCTCACAGCTTCAGGCCCATCAGAGGTGTCACACTGGAGAGAAACCGTACCAGTGTGAGGAGTGTGGGAAGGGCTTCTGTCGGGCCTCAAATTTTCTGGCTCACCGTGGAGTCCACACAGGAGAGAAACCATACCGATGCGATGTGTGCAGTAAGCGCTTCAGACAGAGATCATACCTTCAAGCCCACCAGAGGGTCCACACTGGAGAGAAACCATATAAGTGTGAGGAATGTGGTAAGGTCTTCAGTTGGAGCTCATACCTTCAAGCCCATCAGAGAGTCCACACTGGGGAAAAACCATACAAATGTGAGGAGTGTGGGAAAGGCTTCAGTTGGAGCTCAAGTCTTATAATTCATCAGCGAGTCCATGCTGGGGATGAGGGTGACAAGGACTGTCCCTCATCAGAGAATACGTACAGCAAAGAAGCTCTATAAAATTACATGGTTTAATACCTCAAATGGGTGCTGAAATAGTCCTGCCGTAGAAGACAAAACATCTGTTTGATAAAAGAGTATTTCTGCCAGAGCTCGACATGTCTGTGTGGTTGGGCGACCACACGGCAGAGAAGCCTCATAAGAGTGGAGACATAAGCACTTCATTCAGAGCCTTGACATTTAGCAGATATGACAGAGAAGAGAGGCTTAAGAAGGATGAGCCTGAGCTGAAGGTAACCAAAAGTACTAAGACGGAAATGCCCAAATCTCTTCCACCAGAATAGAAGCTCTCGGAGGGCTGGGACTTTGTTGACGGCCAAGTCCACTCTGCCTCTTCAGCGCCGAACACACTGCAGGTCTCCAGTAATGTTAAATGAATAAAAGGGAGAACAGTCACTTTTGAAATTTTCTTTCAGTTCCTCTCTAAAAATTTCTATTAAATTGTAGAAGGAGGAATTCTCCAAGGCTTGGAGGGTTAAATAAGACACTTGGGTTCATTTCCCCAACCCTGCAGGTCCTGTGAACTAGTGCTTATCAAGCTCAAGGTTGTAACCCAGTAGTGGGTCCAGAAGTCAGTTCACCAGGTTGTGGCCAGCACTTTTCTATGCTAACAGTTCTTTATGGAGATGTGATTCGCATGCAGCCACATGCATAAATAAGTTTACAGCTTCATGAATTTTGACAAATGTATCTACTTGTGTAATCATCACCAAGATCAATATATACCATATTTCTATTAAACCAGAATGTTTCCTTGTCATTCCCACCTCCAGGGGCAACAAGTATTATGATTTCTATACCATGTATTAATTAGGCCTGTCTGTTCTTGAGCTTCCTGTGTGTTTGGTATGTACTCTTTATGTCTGGATTCTTTTCATCAAATATATGATCATCCTAGGTTCACAGAAGGCAATTGACAGAACTCAGTATCCATGATAAAAATTCTTCAGTGAGATAAGAGGCATCTATGAAGATCCTATATGCTCATGTTCTTCTTTTATTATTAAGGAATAATTTATATACAGTAAAATCGACTGGTGGATCATTCTGTGTTTTGGCAAATGCTTACTATCATATTACATCACCACAATCAAGATATTTAACAGTTCCACCAGCCCCGGCTTTCTACTCTTTTTTTTTTCATACCTTTATTTTATTTATTTATTTTTCGCTGTATTGGGTCTTCATTGCGTTGCGCGGGCTTCTCATTGCAGTGGTGTCTCTTGTTGCAGAGCATAGGTTCTAGTCGCGTGGGCTTCAGTAGCTGTGGCTTGTGGGCTCACTAGTTGTGGCTCATGGGCTCTAAGAGTTCGCATGCCACAACTAAGGAGCTGGCGAGCTACAATTAAGGAGCACTCAAGCAGCAACTAAGGAGCCCACATGCCACAACTATGAAGCCGGCGAGCTGCCACTAAGGAGCCTGCAAGCTGCAACTAAGACCCGACACAACCAAATAAATAAATAAATATTTTTTAAAAACTCTGTTGGGGAAGGATAGAAGGTTTGGCAGAGAGCTTTCTTGTAGCCTATAGAATAGCCTTTTGTGGGGGGGTCATGGGTCCTCACTTCTCAATGGGTCTCACTCTATTACCTGCCTTAGAACTGAGTGCCAGTCTGGCACACACTGTGCCAGAATCTTTTCAGTTCTCTTAGATTAGGTGAGTGGAGAGGTGTCATTAATTGGGAAAGGGAGTTCTGTCTGGGTATTTTAGAGAGACTAGAAAGAGGAGGGGATGGGTCCCTTAATTGCATTTTGACAGGCTGTCTTGGGACCTATAGGTTGAGAGTTCAGGGTAAATAAGGCAGTGTGTAAAAGAGCCATTTGGAAGCCACTATCCATTTTGTAATTTTAATAGGGCATCCTTCAGTAGATCATTGTTTATCTGTAGATGATAGGACAAATGAAAATTGCAAGTGTTGCTTTCTTGTAAGGTCTGTGCCTAAACTGAATGAGCACGGAAGTGTGTATCCTGATCAGAGTCCATGATATCTGGGGGCCCAGAGGAAACCAAGTTCTAATGAGGGCTATAGTGGTGAGGTTAGCACCCTGGAAAGGATAAGCCAAGAGTAGACCTGTTTACGTATCAGTCATTGTGAGGACAAAATGGTTTGTGTCAGCACATTGGCACAGTGGCCCAATAAAATCAATTTGATGGTGAGAGAAGGGTCATTCACCCTTTGGTATAGACCTTCATGGGCTGTGCCACCAATAATCACGTTGGGAGGGTAGGGTTTGGGTTAGGGCCAGTGACATGGAGATGTCATGAATTTTGGCCCCAAATACAAGCATCTGGGGCCCAAGATGAGGGTAATACTTGAGCTTATTTGAGAAATGGGAGCAAATTGGACAGATACGACATTTAAATGAGCCACCTCTGGGAGTCAGGGTAGGAGCTGAGATGGGAAATTTTCATTGTAGTACATGAGGTCTGAGAGGTAATATATTGCCAATGTGGAAGGCCCTGTCATAGGGGATAAGCCTGAATGTGAAATCTATTTTGAGCCCATCAACTGAATCAAACAGTCTAGGAGTCTGTAAAAATATGAAAAAAAATGACATAATTTTTTGATGGTGTCCTCCAGTGTCAACGTGACTACAATTAGCTCTGTGAATTTTCTCATCCTTTATTCGGGATGTCCCAGTCGTGGGATGGAAAGTGGTAACTCTCCATTGGGCTCCATCACGAATGATGTGGTGCTGCTGACTGAAATAAATGGACTCCCTTTCCACTGGGACTTGGTTATCCCAAGAGGCCCCAAGGATGGCCAATGGGGCCAGGAGGGGGCAATCTCTCCTGGATTTGTGGACTTGGGCAAAGGACAGAGGGTGGGAAAAGCCACATTCGCCTGTAGTTTGGATATGCCTGAGGGTTCAAGCCGTATCCTGTAGATACCATTTCCTTTTAATAAGGAGGCTTCACTGCCTGTTCCAAGCCTGTGGGGTGTTGTTTCCTTTCCATAACCTATGGTAAAATAGGCAGCTGCACTTAAGAGACATGGGCTCAGGGCCTATGATGGCTTTTTTCTCAAGTAGGGCCCAATCAGCACTAAGATTTGTCTTTTAAGAGAAATCTACCTCAGCCACTGAGGGTAGTTTGTATCTGAAACACATGGGGAGTTGTTGGCTATCATGTGTGGTCCAAAGACTCCAAGGGGCACAAGACAGTTGCTAGGACTCCCACCATCCCACCAAGGGGTCACCAGGCAGATGTGGCATCGCTTGTTGGATGGTCTTTTTACATGGGCCTGCTGTTGGGGTGGCCCCCATTCAAATTGAAATGATTTTTTCCGTGACTTTTGTCAATAGATTTTAAAAAGACTATTGTAAATGAATTGTTGCAACCAAATGTTGCAGGCCATGGCCTGACAGTGCGCTGCCAGAATGGAGCTCACTGATTTGGGGTGACTCAGACTCATGTAGGAGGCACAATAAAGAATCAGTCAAATTACTGTACCTCTCTTGGGCCCATGAAGGTTGTAATACAGTTTTTCTGTTTTGTTTTTGCCACGCCGCATGGCTTGCGGGATCTCTGTTCCTCGACCAGGGATTGAACCCACAGCAGTGAAAGGACTAACCACCAGCCCACCAGGGAACTCCTTGTAATACAGTTTTAAATTAAAATATTTTATCAACAGTTCTGCTATGTAGATCTCCAAATGCGCAGCTTTTTGAGCCTTCATCTTGTGCATTCTTCAGAGGATCTGAAGTTCAACAATGGAGTTTGAACTAAACTTTCCAATGATATTATCTAGGTTTGCTGTTCTAACAGAGACAAAACGAACAGTAGTTTAAACAACATACAATAGTTTTCGCTCACGGATTCAGGTTAAGCTAACACTAGCCCCGGTAGGAAACCACCTTACTGCCCAGGAACTCGGCAATATGAACTTTGTCCCCAAGTGATTTGTGTGAACTGTAGTCCAACAGTTCCGAAGTGGCTCAAGTGCTTCCGGCGGAAGAGGGTGGGAACTCGGGCTGTGTTCTCCTCTGGCTTTCTGGGAAGTGTAGTTTACAAGTTCCGTAGAGACTCGGACGCTTCCGCACAGGCGCCGCTGGGACAGGGGAATTGTGGGAAGTGTATCCCCAGCGCAGCCTGGGGGCGGGGTTTCAGGCCCTGCCGCTCTGGGCGGTCAGGTAGTCTCCCTCTCTTCCCTCGCGCTGGTGAGTTGCTTCCGCGTTTTGCGACCCGTGGGAATTTCCCTGGGTACCTGTCCAACCCAGCCATCAATTTGGGGGAAAGAGCTGCTTCAGAGAGCAATGGTTTGAGGGCTGGGGCGTGGGCGGTTGTTCCTTTGGGCGGAGTCCTCTGCATTTGGTGCGGTGTATGGGATCGTTCCTGGCCTGGTTGGAGGGGCACTAGGGCTCTCGCCTTGAGGACCCATCCCCTGGGCCGTGCACCTAATACCCTGCTCTGTCATTTCCCGCAGTAGAACATTGGATGAATTGCTTAAATTTCTGTCTCTGATGGTTTCTTGTAAAATTGGGATGACATTACTACTCTTAAAAAACAAAATTCAGGGAATATTCCGAAGGTCCAGTGGTTAGGACTCCGAGCTTTCACTGCCGAGGGCCGGGGTTCAATCCCTGGTGGGCGAGGTAAGATCCCACAAGCCACATGGCGGGGCCAAAAACAAAACAAAAAAGGCAAAATCAAACAAAGTTCAACTGTGTAAATTTGAAGATCTAATTGGCTTTATGCAACAGTTGGTGAATTGAGCAGCATCCCATCTAGTAAATAGAAGGGTTGTACAAAATGGAAAGGTTTTTTTGGTTGTTTCAGGCAGAAAAGTAGGGCAAAGGAATTATTAGTAAAAAAAAAGAAAGGATTATTTTTAGGTCAAGATCTCTTTTTGTGGGGAATGGAATTGCAAGGGCTTTATCGTGAAGATTGCCTCTTCTCTGGGGGATGGAAATGGGCTTTGTAATAGATTACCTCGTTAGTGCTGGCCAGAAAATACCAGGCTGGTTGATTAACATTATATTTCTATGTAAGGTGGAAACTGCAGTTAAGTCTTGGTTTGCTGTCATGGGGCGGGGTGTAGCAAATGACTCCATTTTGGGCCTTTTTTTTTTTTTAGCCGCCTCCGGGCATGTGGGATCTTAGTTCCCCCCACCAGACATCAAACCCTTGCCCCCTGCACTGGAAGCACGGAGTCTTAACCACTGGATCACCAGGGAAGTACTGGGCCTGTTCTTTCTTTTTTAACACTACCTTCCTAATACGGTGGTTTGAGAATTAAACGGGATGGTATGAATAAAAGTCTTGATGGAGAAAATGTTCACATATTGAGGTATGGGGCAGTCATTTTAGCTTATACATGGTTCGGCCTGAACTTTGTGTGAGCCAAAGCAGCCTGACTCATGGCCTGTCAAACACACACAGCACATCTGCTTTAACCATTGAGGTAAAGACGATCCATCTCAAAGATAAGGATAAATAACTCCCTTCCTGTGGCATCTTCCTGCATCTCTCCTCTACCTGAGTATCTTTCCCAGAACAACATAAAACCGTGTTCATTGCAGCTTCCTATATAATGGCAAATCTAGTACTCATCAGGGATTGTGCCAAAATGCTTATTTAATTCATCCAGGAACACAGCAGTGGTTTGATAAATCGGGTTTATTCGCTGCGGTGAGAGATTACACCCACCTTGGGGAACCATGAGGTGCCACGGCGGTAAGAGGGTGTCAGAAAAAAAAATCTATTACAGGATTTGGGCTTCATTTAAGTGTTTTGGGAGAGGGCCTAAGGACGCAGGGTTCACTCCGGATTGGATGCTGCTAGAAAGCAGGAGCAATTTTAAGATTTAGTATCTCAATAAATGTTATATTTGGGGAGAGCAGACTAGAACAAAGGTAAAGCTCTAAGTGGTAAAGAAATAGCATCACTCTTTTAGCCAAGAGGAGGATGTTTGGCATTGTGTGGGTGGCACAGTGACCTTGTTTTTGTCTGTCTAAAAATTACGAAGGGGGCCTTCTTTTGTCTCACTTTACCGTGGTCTCAGAGAAACCTCATTTGAGGATGGTAGTCTGTGATTTATGTCCCAAAAGAGAATACTATTGGCCTGTGAGTGCCATGTCAGCTTTCAGATGTCAGGAGTATTTTGTTTTTAATTCTCATTACATTCAACACACCATTATATAGCCATCTTTTGGAAGGAGTTAGATTTTCAGTGGCTGACGTTAGAAAATGACTAGCTTATATTGAGTTTAGAAAAATAGATACAGAACACAAGATTTCATTTAAAAAAACAAAGATGTATGTTGATAGGCATATGTGTTGACATGTTTACAGAGAGAAAAAAATCTGGTTATCTTCAAGGGGAAGGAATCTAGGTGCATCCCCCTCTCCCCCATTTTGCTTTATACAATTTTTAATTGGCTTCCAATAACATGTGTTTTTATTTTTTTTTTAATTTATTTTATTTATCTTTGGCTGTGTTGGGTCTTTGTTGCTGCGCGCGGGCTTTCTCTAGTTGCATCTAGCGGGGGCTACTCTTCATTTTGGTGCACAAGCTCCTCATTGCGGTGGCTTCTCTTGTGGAGCACAGGCTCTAGGCGCACCGGCTTCAGTAGTTGTGGCGCACGGGCTTAGTTGCTCCGTAGCATGTGGGATCTTCCGGGACCAGGGCTTGGACCTGTGTCTCCTGCACTGGCAGGCGGATTCTTAACCAGTGCGCCACCACGGAAGTCCCAACATATGTGTTTTTAAATTGCTCATTATAATAAAGATATTTTAACCAGAAAATATAAAGGAAAAAACTCAGTACAAAACATCCTCCATCAATAGAATCCTCCCCAGTGCTCTAGCATTTTGGCTTTGGGAGTCAGAATGACTCCAGTGCCAAGCTCTTCAGCCTTCATTATGCTTGCTTTGAGATAGCAGACAGTTTCTTAACGTCTCTGAAATTTGGTGTTTTCACCTCCAAAGTAGGGATCATAACTTCAATGAAAAGTTTAAATGAGGGAAGAGCACTTTTCCATGAGGACAAGCTTCCACTTTGGCCCTCTCAAGTTGTTTTTCCTGAGAAACCAGTGGTACCACAGGGTCTGGTACCTTCTTCGATCCTCCTGGTCCCTCCCAAATCCTTCTACCTCGCCTATTCTTTGACCTCTCAGTTTTAGCCTCATATTGTCAGATTATATTCAAATCAAACTACTTTCAATCACCTAGTGTTCCCTAAACAGTCATCCCCCCTTAACTTTTTTCTTTTAAAAAAATTTTTGGCTGCGCCCTGCGGCATGCGGGATCTTAGTTCCCAACCAGGGATCAAACCCTTGTCAAGGCCCTGGAGTGGGAACGTCCAGTCCTAGCCACTGGACGGCCAAGGAAGTCCCCCACCCTGTTAATTTCTTGAAGATTGCATCTCCTCACTTGTTCCCTTTCCAACAATACTCCTGCCATAATTGGAGGCATTTCGACTTCAGAAAGTCGTGTCTATGGAACATTTTCGCTGGAGGACTCGGGGAAACGTAATGCAGGCTCTCAGTGTAGAAATCCGCCTTACCACCCCCGAAGTTGGGACTTGGCGGGAATCTTTTCTCTCTGGCATTTTGGGAACCGTAGTCAAGGAGCTTCCCGTAGTCTTCCTGGAAAGTGAGCCTCTGGACTGTTTTCCTCGGCATTCTGGGAGATGTAGTCCAGGCACGGTGTAGTCGCTCGCACTTCCGCTCAGGAAGGCGGATCTGACGAATTCTGGGAAGTGTAGTCCAGAAGCCCGGTGGACTCGTAGGCACTCTCGTTCCCGGAGTGGGCGGGTTGCCGGTGTGTTTTCTGTTGGCCCGTGCGTCTGTTCCGCGTCTCGCTGGCCCTTGCGAGCTTCCTGTGTCTCCGCTTGGGACGCGCAACCACCTGGCAATCGATTTAGGGGAAAAGAATCCTCGGCGGAGAACGCAGGTGCGGAGGGGCGAGGGCGGCCGTGTGCGTGCCCCTCGGCGGAGCCTCTGTGCGTTTGGGGCGTTCTGGAAACCCCAAGAGGGCGCTGGCTACGCTCGCGTATCCCCTGGATTGGGAATTTCCGCGGCTCTCACCTCGCCCAGTCCGCCTCCCTACACCTTCCACGCGCGCTTCCACTTCCTCGCGTGGGGAGTTAATCTCCCTGTGCCTCCCGTTGCTTTTCTTTAAAATGTTAGGACCTTCTTAGAAGAATTGTTTTGGGAATTGAAAAAGGTGGTACAAATAGAAATTTTAAGTTCCTGGCACGTAGTGAATGATGATCTCTCCTTGGTGTTAATTTCTCGAGGAGCGGTCAGGTCCCCGGGTTGGGTCAGAAATCCAGCTTCAATGACACTTGCCCTTCTCTCTATTTCTGCGTGACGCTGGATAATCCCGGACCCCTTCTGACTCTTTTGGAGGAGAAGGTTCCGGATTGCTCGGGATTGCTTCTAGATTGCTCGGAGGGAGGGGAAGCTTTAACTTTTATGGGGACGGGGACTCAATCGTGGCACTTCATAGCATTCTTTCTTTCTCCAGCGTGATTTCTCAAAAAGGACCACACGGAGGTAGAGCGAGTGACCCTGAGCTACATGATAGCAAAGCTCCACGTGAGTGAGACTTGACAGTTTTGTTTTACAATGATCTTCACATCAGTCAGAGAATGTGTAGGATGTGTAATTGGACATGAGTATTGATAGTAATTAATCCTTAACTGTTAACTTAAGTGATGAGGGCTTTACACAAATAAATACATTATGTCACACCATGCCTCCGTGAAGAAATATTGCTCTTTTCCTGTTTTGAAAAATGAGATTGAGACCCAGGGAGCTGAAAGTTATTTGCCCATAGTCACCCACCAAGTAAGAGGCTGAGGTGGGGTTGGAATTCAGGCAGTCTGAGTCCAGAGCTTGAGTTCATAATCTTTTGGATGTAATTCTCCTTAAGCTTTAGGAACTAGGTGGAATCAAGCAGTTTAGTCAGAACTTGATTGTGAGGGACCTTAACATCAAATAAAATGGGCTTGGACTTTTCTATGAGTTTTTCAAAATATCATCAACTATTTTGTTTCACTTGTTACAAATAATATTTCTTATTCTCATAGTACTGTATCATTGTGGAACATTCAGAAATTAAAGAAATTTGAGAGAAAAAAATTGTTTAATTACTTATTAATCCAGGGTGTAAAGATAGCAACAGTTAAGCTTCTAATGCATCTCTGTTTAGTGATTCTTTTTGTGTATTTGTTTATAAACATTTTACAGATTTTATCTTATCCTACCTTTCTCAGTGATTTTTCCCTTATGTGTTTTAAGTATGGAGATTTCCAAACACTGACAAGAAAGAATAAACTAATGAACTTCCATGTAATTTAATGATCAGTCTTACTATTTTCATTATTATTGTTATTCCTGTGACTGTTTCCTGATTTTTAAGAAAGTTTTATTTTTATATAATTTTAAACCTATAGCAAAGTTGCAAAAGTAGTATAAGGAACTCTCCTATACTTGTTACCTAAATTCACCAATTGTTTACATTTTGCCTATCTACTCTGTTCCTCCATCAGGAATGTACCTATATTCAGTGACAGCTCATCTTAGCTTTCTGCATGAAGGAAGCCCACATACCATGAGTAATCAGGAGGTGTCTTGGTAAGAAGGATTTAGGAAAGGCTGACTATAGGATTTTAGCATCACATACTTGGTAATATTAGACTATTATACTAAATATATTTTTTAATTAATTAACTTATTTATTTATTTTTGGCTGCGTTGGGTCTTTGTTGCTGCACGTGGGCTTTCTTTAGTTGCATCAAGCGGGGGCTACTCTTTGTTGCAGTGCGCGGGATTCTCACTGCGGTGGCTTCTCTTGTTGCAGAGCATGGGCTCTAGGCACGCGGCTTCAGTAGTTGCAGCACGCGGGTTCAGTAGTTGTAGCTCGCAGGCTCTAGAGTGCAGGCTCAGTAGTTGTAGCACACGGGCTAAGTTGCTCCGTGGCATATGGGATCTTCCCGGACCAGGGCTCAAACCCGTGTCCCCTGTGTTGGCAGGCGGATTCTTAAACCACTGCGCCACCAGGGAAGCCCCTATACTAGATATTATACTAGAGAATAGTGTTTATATATTAGATATCTATTAAGTTATTTCTAATCATAGTTAATAGGTAACAGTAGATAATGCCAGATAGCATATTAGGTAACATACTGTTATATAATCCACGTCCTGTATTTTGTTCTGTTTTTCATTGGAAGTCTTCATAACTGGTTTTCCTCTCAGTTTAAAGTCCAATTTTATACCCAGCTCACAGATACAGAGAACAGATTGGTGGTTGCCAGAGACAGGGTGTGGCGGGGGTGGGTGAAATGGATGAAAGTGGTTAAAAGGTTCAAACTTGCAAGTATAGAGTAAATAAATCATGGAAATATAATGTACATCATTATGACTCTAGTTAATAATACTGTATTGCTCATTTAAAAGTTTCTAGAAGAGTAGCTCCTAAAATTTCTCATCACACAAAATACATAAATTTGTAATTATGTATGGTGATGTATGTTGACTAGATTTATTGTGGTAATTATTTCACAACATATACAAAACTAGAATGATTATATCGTACACCTGAAATTAATATTATAACCCAATTATACCTCAATTTAAAAAGCAATAATAAAGCTCATGCACTTGATCATTAAAAAAAAATTCCAATTTTATGCCTTGCCTTAAGGTGTATATTTGTTTATAAACATTTTACAAAATTTTTTTCATACTTTTCATAATGTTCTTCTTTGACATGGAATGATTCCACAGCCTTTGTCTTTTTTGTTCGTGATGCTTTTAGGGAGTATAGAGGCAAGTTATTTTGGAGGACCATTTGAGGTTCATCTGATATATTCCATGTTTAGCTTCAGATTACGCATTGTTGGCAGGGATTCCACAGAAGTGGTGAAGTGTCCTTGTCACTGCAACATAGCAGGAGCCAAAGAATATCAGTTTGTCCCTATATTGGTAAACTCAACTTTGTTTACTAGGCTAAGGTAATGTCTGTCAGATTTCTCCATTGTAAAGTTACTCTTGTTTTTCGGAATTAATGAAGTTTTATTATGGGGAGATACATTTATTAGTGGGCATTCTACTATGAAGTGAAACTTCTTCTCTCCCACTTATTTATTTATTCATTTAAATATAAATATTAGTATGGACTCAGGATCCATAAATTAGTATTCTAAACGACATGTAGATTAATAAACATTTATTTTTACCAGCTTGAGGTATATTGTACATATCATAGAATTCACCCACTTGAGATGTACAAATCAATGATTTTTTAGTAACTTTGCTGAGTGGTGCAACCATTGCCATAATAATTTGGAACATTTTCATTTCCCCAGTTGGATTCCTTAGTTAATCCCCATTCTCTCCCCAGATACCCAGGCTACCACTAACCTACTTTCTGTCTCCATAGATTTGCCTATTCTGGACATTTCATATAAATGGAATCATACAATATGTAGACTTTTGTGTCAGTCTTCTTTTGCTTTCCCACACATTTGCAAGGGTTCATCCACGTTGTAGCATAATCAGGACTTCATTCCTTTTCATTGGTGCATAATATTCCATTGTATGGATATGCCACAATTTGTTCTTTCACGCATAGGCCAACATTTTGGATGTTTCCAAATTTAGGTTATCATGAATAATGCTGCTGTGAACATTCATATGCTCATTCACAAGAAGCATCTGCATGGGTGAGCGGCGACCCAGGTCACTCTTTCGTGTCTTTTTTCTGCCTTCCCAGACACTCTGCCAGGTGCAATTCGGACCTCCCAGGATCTGTGTAACTCAGGACTGTGCCCATCCCCAGACACAGGAGGAAACATGACCATGTTCAAGGTGAGTAGGGCCCGCCTTTCTCACTTTTAAAGTTCCATCTCATTACTCAGACTGTTGCACGTTTGTCTTGGGATGACTCAAGCAGAACAAGAGACATGGGAGGGCCTGTTCTCCTCCCGGCTCTTAAGTTGTCCCTTTTGAGTTTTCATTGCATTTGTTTTTATTGTTTATTTTGTGTTATTATTATTTATTTTATAGAGTAGAAAAATGACTAGAAATGAACAACTCTCTCACTTCACTACTTCCCTCCTGACAAACAAGCTGTTTTTATTTTCTCTTACTCTTTTTCTCATGTGCATTCATAACTCTTTTGTATTTATGATGTACATTTAATTTTAAATTGTAACTTCTTTCCTTTAATATTAGATAACGTTCATTTTTTTAATGGATACAACATATTTGTCATTGAATTGATGTACGTTTTTATTTTTTATTTTTGTACCCTTTTATTTATAACTGCTTCCCACTTGTAGCCATTTAGATGGTTTAGGAATTTGACTGTTCTAAGCAAACCTGCAGTGACAGCTTTCCTACATTAAACCTTCCCCCCCGCCAAATCAGTTCTGAAAACAGTCTCAGTTTTTTCTCCTTACTGTACTGTGAGCTCAGAAAGAGTACATTTGATATGTGTCATGTTGGCTGTTTTCTAGGTAGAATATCCAGATACAAGCATGGCGCAGCCCTAACTTGCTTTGCACAAAAATATTTGGAGATTTTCACACAGGAAGAGCTGGATTCTGACTTCCCCAGGCCTGAGTCATGGCTTGTGTATATTTTATTTACTGGTCCTTTTTTGTTCTTTTATGTGTTAACCAGTTTGACTAAAGTAGTATGTAACCTTAGCTTAAAATGTCCAGTGATACTAGATTTGCCAGTAATTTGACTTCTGTTTCTGCATTTACTCTTTAGAGCAGCTGCGTGAGGAGATTTTGTCTCATTTTCTTTTTAAACACTTGAAATATGAGACACCTGCTCACGTTGACACAGGAAACCAAGGGTCTGGAATGCTAAGCAGTCTGCTTAAGTGAAAGATAAACAAGAAGAAAGAAAGAGTTCATTTGAGACCTGTGTCTTGTAGTGTTGTTGTCTGGAGGGCCTTTTGAGTGATGATTTCCACAGTCAGTAGGTAGTGCTGCTCCTCCCCGACCCCTTTCTTGGGTTGCATCTCTTCTCTTTCTGCATCTCTCCTCTACCTGAGTACTGCCACAGGTACTCTGAGATGCTCAGCGCTCCAGGCACACAAAGACAGCAGTTAGCACAGTCGTTGTATAAAATCTTTAAATTCCTCTGTGGCAAAAGATACCTTACATGGTATTACCAGAAAAAATAGCAACCTGGGGCAAAAGTATTTACCGAACGGATTCCAAAAAACAAAATCCAGAATAAAGAATCTTATACATAGGACAAAGGAAAAAATATAGTGGAATATGAATGGGGACATGAACAGGTATGTTAAAGAGGACAGATACAGATGGTTAATAAATATCTGGAAAGGTATTAGTATTAATTTATAATCAGATAAGTGGGAATACTAAAGCAAATTGTTCTTCCAAATCAGATTACAAAAACCGTGGGAAAATTTATAACCTGCTCTTGGCCAATATATGGAGATTCAGGGTACTTGTACTCTCTTCAAAGATTAGGGAAGTAAGAAAAAAAATTGGGAAGAAAATCTGCCATTATATAATTTTATAATTTATATTTTTAATATATAATTAAAAATATAATTTTAAATATGCCTATTTTGACATTTTAATTTTCATTTGCACTTATTTATTTATTTATTTTTGGCCACGTTGGGTCTTCGTTGCCGCGTGCAAGCTTTCTCTAGTTGTGGTGAGTGGGGGCTACTCTTTGTTACGGTGCGCAGGCTTCTCATTGCAGTGGCTTCTCTTGCTGCGGAGCACAGGCTCTAGGCACACAGGCTTCAGTTGTGGCTCACGGGCTCTAGAGCGCAGGCTCAGTAGTTGTGGCGCACGGGCTTAGTTGCTTTGTGGCATGTGGGATCTTCCCGGACCAGGGATCGAACTTGTGTCCCCTGCATTGGGAGGTAGATTCTTAACCACTGCACCACCAGGGAAGTCCTGCAAGTATTTTTAAATAATGAGGGAAATAAGATCTACAAAAATGATGTTCTTTGCAGGATGGATTATAAAGAGAAAAATATGTAAAATTAAATATGCTTTATTTAGAACAGGTAAATGTAGATAATCAGTTCTCTGGAATAATATGCAGCCACGAAATGGGATGAAATAGGTGTTATAATATGAAGGAACAATAAGAGTAATAGCAAATGTTTATCAGGCGCTTACTCTGTGCCACATACTCTTCCAAATGCCATAGATATTCCCTTGTTTAATCCTTGAAAGAACTCTGTCATCTAAGGACCATTATACAGAGAGGAAACTCAGACACATAGGCAAGCTTGTCCAAAGTCACGCAGCTAGTAAGGGTAAGGGCCACGCAGACCTTTGGGAATCATGCCAAGGCATGTTGGACCCAGAGCATGACACTGAATGCTGCAATTAAGAGATGTAGTGTGGGCAAGATGGGAACCCATGTCTCTAGGAAGATCCTGGAACCAAGACTCTTCAGTCTGTGGAACTCAGAGAATAGAGATATTGCTACCAGAGCCCTTTACCAAGCAAGAAGTCCTTCAATAGGAAAATCTGGCTTCTAGCAGCATGAGTAGCTTATATGCACTCTAATTCAAGTCTAGCCAGTCAGCTTCCAAGTTTGAAATTCCCCTGACCCCTTAAATTTTGCCCTAGACTCTGGATCGAGGAAACAGACTTGAGAGCCTTGCTTCCTGTCTCCTTGTTGGTTGACCTCGCCATAAAGCTTTTTCTAAAAAAAAAAAAAAAAAAAAAAGTGTACCTTGAGGTTACATAGGGTGAACTACATCGATGTCCCACACAGGTTACCAAAAGCTTGTTAGCTTGGCAGACAATAAAGAAAAGTGGTAGCTTTTCTATCACAACAGGGTTCGTGTGTGTGAGAGGAAGAAGGCCATTGCTGTCAAATATGTTTGGACTAAATTGCGAAATTCTTCTCAGGACAACTGGCAATATTCAACAAAAAGTAAAATGCATGTAGTCCAGGATATATATTTAGGGTTTTGGGAGGCTTACTGGTAAGTAGACCCAATGAGGGCACAAAATAAATACAAGGATGGTTGTCACTGCCACACTTTCGGTGAGGCTGAGGAAAATCAGTGTGTGACATTGGCAGGATGAAAGGAGAAGGTCTGGGAAGTCTACAGATTTGACTGAAGTCCCTCAGAATCTGGGCTCACTTCCCTCCCATCCTCTCCATCTTTTCAGCACTGTCCCTTTTCTTTCTTTCTTTTTTGTTTTTAAAATATTTATTTATTTGGTTGCGTTGGGTCTTAGTTGTGGCAGGCGGGCTCCTTAGTTGTGGCTCACCGGCTCCTTAGTTGTGGCATGTGAACTCTTAGTTATGGCATGCATGTGGGATCTAGTTCCTGGACCAGGGATTGAACCTGGGCCCCCTGCATTGGAAGCGTGGAGTCTTAACCACTGTGCTACCAGGGAAGCCCCAGCTGTCCCTTTTCAAGTGGCCATTGGTTGTAAGATTGAGGCTACATGTGTTTGGTGTCGTAGGAGGTGGTGACCTTCAAGGATGTGGCTGTGACCTTCACGGAGGAAGAGCTGGGGCTGCTGGACTCCACCCAGAGGAAGCTGTACCAGGAAGTGATGCTGGAGAACTTCCGGAACCTGGTCTCAGTAGGTGAGGACAGGCACCCTCTCTAACCTAATGTCAGCTCCCCAGTTTGGCTTTGTGTCCTCAGGTGCTGAAGGCTTTGGGGATCTTGAAACGGTCACCTGCATTTGGGGACCTCACTTTTCTACCAACAGTTTTTTAACGAAATCAAATAAGGTAGAAAAATGCCAGGATTTGTTGGGAAGAATGGAATACATTGCAGCAAAAACTCTTACCAATTGCGTGAGTGATGTAAGAACCGATGGGAGGAGATTTAATAAAGGTAGACATTGGCAATAAATCGGTTTGTGTAATACTTACTACGCATATGTGTCTGGGTCTTGAAATACTGGTATTTCTTCAAATAGGTCATGTTTTTTGTTTATTTTTTTTTTAAATACACTGGTTTTGATTCATTGATCAACATTTAATTCAGGAATCTAAATTTCCAGTAAATTGTACCTTTAGTGTGTTCCTTTTAAGTATGTGACTCTGCATGTTCACAGGGTGTCACCCCTTCAAACGTGATATATTCCACTTAGAAAAGGAAAAAAGGCTTTGGGTGGTGAAGACAGCAACCCAAAGAGAAGGGACATCAGCTAAGAACCAGGCAGATAAGAGTCCTTGGAGATGCTCTTCTATGTGTTTTTACTTTTCTCCAATCCTTTGCTGTCATCTGGTCCAAACTGCCAGACTCCTTCTTTCACATGCCTTTGTACTGGTTGCCCTGCTCCTACCCTTCCCCTCCTATAGTCTTTTCTCCCCATCACAGCCAAAAGTGATGCTTAGGAAAGATTGCCATTCCTCTATTCCAAACCTTTTATGGCTTATTTTTCTCAAAGTTAAAACCTCTTCAAGTGGCTTCTGGAGTCCCCCAGGGTCCGCTCATGGGCCCCTGCTGCCTCTCCAATTCCTCTCCTCTGCTCTCCTCTCTCGCTCCATCCCTCCCACCCCTGCCGGCCTCCGCAGTGTTCTCAGACCTGCTGGGGATGCTGTATCGCCCGTGGCTGCCCTGATAAGTCACCACAAACTTCATGGCTTAACACAACACATGTTGATCATCTTACACTTCCAGAGGTCAGAGCTGTAACGTGGTTCTCACGGGGCTGAAATCAAGGTGTTGGCACCATTGCGTTTCTCCTTGGGGGCTCTAGGGGATAACCTGCCTTTCCAGCTGCTAGTGGTCACCCAAATCTCTTAGCCTGTGGCCGCCTGCCTCCATCTTCACAGCCAGCGACATCGCTTCTCTCTGCCCCTTGCTGTGTATTTGCACGCCCCTCTCCCGCTCTTCTTCTGCATCCCACTTCCTCTTTGAAGGGCCCTTTTGACTGCATTGAGACCCCACGCCCACCCCATAGTAGAGGATCATCTTCCCTTTTAAAGTCAGCTGATCAGCAACCTCAATCCCATCTGCAACCTTAATTCCCCTCTGCCACATAACCTAACATATCTTAGGTTCCAAAAATCAGGACGTGAGTTCCTTGGGGGACAGTTATTCTGCCCACTGCCGGGACTTCTGCCTCTTAGCCCTCACCTTGCTCTCTCTCTTCCTTTTACCTCAGATCCTCCTGTTCCTCCCTTACTGCCTTCAGGTCTCCGCTCCGTTCTAACAGCATGCGAAAGGCCTCCTCTGACCACCCTGTCTAAAATCCCATCCTCCCTGTACTCTCCTTGTTCTGCCTTTTATTGGGTCTCACAGACTTTGGTTTGCTTGCTTATCACTTCTCTCTCTGCACTGAAGTGTGATCCACAGGAGTGAGGAGTTTTGTCTGTCCTGTTTAGTGCTCTGTCCTCAGTACCCAGAGCATCCTGGTATGTGGCAGGTGTCTGTAAATATTTGTTGACTTAGTGAGCGTGTTGATGGTTGGAACAGGAGACCCCCGTGTCTCCGAGCGTCATGGAGATAACTGTTAGTCATGTGCAAACCAGAGTGAACGAAGGAGGTTGCAGAACATTTTTGTCTTTTGATGAATGTCTATCCGATTACTTTCATTTTTTTTCTTATTCATTTTTTAATTTCATTTTTATTTATTTTATCTTTCCAATTACTTTCTGTTTCAATTACTTTCTTTTTTTAATTGAAGTATAGTTGACTTACAATGTTGTGCTAATTTCTTTTTTTACAAATTTATGTATTTTATTTATTTATTTTTGGCTGAGTTGGGTCTTCGTTGCTGCACATGGGCTTTCTCTAGTTGCGGCGAGCGGGGGCTACTCTTTGTTGCAGTGCGCAGGTTTCTCATTCCCGTGGCTTCTCTTGTTGAGGAGCACAGGCTCTAGGCTCGTGAGCTTCAGTAGTTGTGGCATGTGGGCTCAGCATTTGTAGCTCACGGGCTCTAGAGTGAAGGCTCAGTAGTTGTGGCGCACGGGCTTAGTTGCTCCACGGCATGTGGGATCTTCCCGGACCAGGGCTCAAACCCATGTCCCCTGCAATGGCAGGCGGATTCTTAACCACTGCACCACCAGGGAAGTCCCCCACATTCTGTTTTCAAAGAGATAGTCCAAAAGATTCAGAAGGAACTAGTGATGTGCCCTCTTGCTTTCTTTTCACCCCAAGGGATTTTTGCCACCTTTGATTTTCTTTATTAACAGCATGCTTGGTGTACCCTGGTCTCTGGGACAGCTTTTCAGCTTTCCAGCAAAACTGAGTTCTCTGTCCCTTTGATATTTCAAATAACTTACTTGGAAAAGATGTTTTCCTTGTAGGACTTGGCTTAAGCTCTCATAAAAAAGTCAAACCGAGATTCATTTATTCATTCAACATGCATTTGTAGGGTACTCACTGTACTCCAGGCATGATTCTGGACAGTGATTATAAAGTAGGAATGTGTTCCATGTACAAAGTGTGAAATGCTTCCCGCTTTGATGCATTGCAGTGGGAAAGAGACATATTAAACAACAAATGATTTAGTGAGTCATGTGGGGAAAAGTGCTGTGTAGAACATAAACAGATTCAAGGAGGATGGACCTTGCCACAGGTAGACTGAGTGAGGGCAGGATTGGTTATTTTACATTAGGTGGTAAAGAGGCCTCAGTGGTGGGTTGACATTGAACAGAGGCCTAAAAGACATGAGGAGTCACCCAGGTGTCTGTCTGAGAAGACTTCCTGGCAGAATTTAACTCCCATTTTAGGATTAGCTTTCAGAGTTTATACCGTGACCTCACCTTTTCCCTTTCTCAATATCTGTCTCTGAGTAAAAGATTACCTTCCACTTTTTACTTTTTTTCTTAGAGGTCTGAATTAATATCAGGTTTAGGACAGTGTATGTTATCTGTTCAACTTGGTTTCCCTTTTGTCCTAATGGAGAAAACCTGCCAGTAGGAGCTGAAGTTCTATCCTCTGCTTTCACTGTGTTTTAGTCGGTGTGTGATTAGATATTTGCTGCCAAACCTGCAAGTCATTCTGACCATTGCAATCACCTCAATGCTAAAGTAACTTTCCAATAAAGTGACCCAAGGCAGAGTTGTAGAGAGGCTGTTTACCATATGTCTACTGGATCAAAGAGGAGGCACCTTAAAGGGAGGGGAGTGAATTTCTCCTTTGAAACTTGTCAAAATTCCTTCACAAGTATTTTCTTCCTTCTTCTCCTTCTTCTTCTTTTTTTTGTGTATGAGGATTCCCTGGCGCTCCAGGGGTTAGGACTCTGTGCTTTCACTGCTGAGGGCCTGGGTTTGATCCCTGGTTGGAGAACTGAGATCCCACAGCAAAAAAAAAAAGCCTGTTTTGTTTTGTTTTGTTTTTAGAGCAGTTTTAGGCTCACAGCAAAATTGAGAGGTAGGTACAGAGATATCTCATATATCCCTTGCCCTCCCGACACTCACAGGCTTTAGCATCATTGACATGTCCTACCAGATACAACTGATGAGCCTACACTGACACATCGTTATCATCCAGAGACTATACTTTACATTAGGGTTCATTCTTGGTGTTGTACATTTTATGGATTTGGACAAATGTATAACGCCATGTAGCCACCATTATTAATATCATACAGAGTATTTCCACTGCCCTAAAAATCTTCTCTGCTTTGCTTATTCATCCCTCCTTCCCCCTAACCCTTGGCAGCCACTGACCTTTTTACTGTCTCCATACTTTTGCATTTTCCAGAACATCAAATAGTTGGAACCATACAGTATGTAGGCTTTTCAGATTGGCTTCTTTCTTTCTTCCTATTTAATAATATGCATTTACGTTTCCTCCACTTCTTTTCCTGGCTTGATAGCACATTTCATTTTAGCACTGAATAATATTCCACAGTGTGGAGGTACCACAATTTATTTATCCATTCACCTACCGAAGGACATCTTGGTTGCTTCCAAATTTTGTTTATGGAAAAGTTATTGCTTTTCCTTAAAGTTCTGGTTGATTCAGATTTTATTACCTATATAACTTTTTTGTCTACATCATTTATTAACTATATAGTTTACTATCCAAGATTCTAGGCTGCCTTTGAAATTCAGTAGAAATGGCCATAGGTGAACAATTTGAATCTAGTTATCAATTTTTTAAGTTAAGTTTTTGATGTCTAACTTGCGCCTCACATAGGAAATTTGCACCAGTGGGTTTTGTTATGCTTAGTGGATAGGAGCCAGCTGGACCACCTCTTGGTTTCCTTTGGCACGCAAACCAGAGCCCATGACATACAATGGAAGAGGCGAACTGAACATTCTCTGGATTCATTCAAGTCTCACACTGTCTCCTAAATGTGAAATCGTGACAGCACTGAGCAGAGCCTTCAGTTGTCCACATCTCTGAACTTTATGTCTTTGCAGAAGGAAAGATCCAAAGTGAGATGGAGACTGTTTCAGAAGCAGGACCACATGAAGAGCTTTCCTCCTGGCAGATCTGGCAACACATTGCAGGTGACTTCACCAGGTGTCAAGACTCCATGATAAAAAGTTCTGAATTCCACCAACATGGTGACTCATCTGGCCAGGTTGGGGCAGGATTCTCTGAAACTCACACAGGCCAGAAACCTTATCAGTGTAATGAATGTACAAGATCTTTCAGTGATGTCTCCAACTTTGATCTTCATCAACAAATACACCCAGGAGAGAAGTCTCATACATGTGGTGAGTGTGGAAAAAGCTTCTGTTACAGCTCAGCACTTCGCATTCATCAGAGAGTTCACTCGGGAGAGAAGCGCTATAAGTGTGATGAGTGTGGCAAGGAGTTCAGTCAGAGCTCACAGCTGCAAGCTCATCAGAAAGTCCACACCGTAGAGAAGCCATTCAGATGTGAGCAGTGTGGGAAAGGCTTCAGTCGTAGGTCAACACTTATTGTTCATTGTAAATTACATATGGGAGAGAAACCTTATAACTGTGACCAATGTGGAAGGGCCTTCATTCACGCTTCACACCTTCAGGAACATCAGAGAATCCACACTGGGGAGAAACCGTTCAAATGTGATATATGTGGTAAGAACTTCCGCCGTAGATCAGCCCTTAACAGTCATTGTATGGTCCACACTGGAGAGAAGCCATACAAATGTGATGAGTGTGGGAAGTGTTTCACTTGTAGCTCAAATCTTCATATCCATCAGAGGGTCCACACAGGAGAGAAACCTTATAAATGTGAGGAGTGCGGTAAGTGCTTCATTCAGCCTTCACAATTTCAGGCCCATCGGAGAATCCACACGGGAGAGAAACCGTATGTCTGTAAAGTGTGTGGTAAGGGCTTCATTTACAGTTCAAGTTTTCAAGCCCATCAGGGAGTCCACACAGGAGAGAAACCATACAGATGCAGTGAGTGTGGGAAGCACTTCAGGATGAAAATCCATTATCAAGTTCATCTGGTCATCCACACAGGAGAGAAACCCTATAAATGTGAGGTATGTGGGAAAGGCTTCCGTCAGAGTTCATATCTTAAAATCCATCAGAAGGCCCACAGCATAGAGAAACCTTACACGTGTGAGGAGTGTGGGCAGGGCTTCAATCAGAGTTCACGACTTCAGATCCACCAGCTGATCCATACTGGTGAGAAACCATACAAATGTGAAGAGTGTGGGAAGGGATTTAGTCGTAGAGCAGATCTTAAAATTCACTGCAGAATCCATACCGGAGAGAAACCATATAATTGTGAGGAGTGTGGGAAGGTTTTTAGTCAGGCATCTCATCTTCTGACCCATCAGAGAGTCCACAGTGGAGAAAAACCATTCAAATGTGAAGAGTGTGGGAAGAGCTTCAGTCGGAGTTCACACCTTCAAGCCCATCAAAAAGTCCATACTTTAGAAAAGCCATACAAATGTGAGGAGTGTGGGAAGGGCTTCAAGTGGAGCCTGAACCTCGACATGCATCAGAGGGTCCACACAGGAGAGAAACCATATAAGTGTGGGGAGTGTGGGAAGCACTTCAGTCAGGCCTCAAGTCTTCAGCTTCATCAGAGTGTCCACACTGGAGAGAAGCCGTACAGATGTGATGTGTGTGGTAAAGTCTTTAGTCGGTCTTCACAGCTTCAGTATCACAGGCGAGTTCACACAGGGGAGAAACCTTACCAGTGTGAGACGTGTGGTAAAAGCTTCAGTTGGCGCTCCAATCTTGTAAGTCATCACAAAATGCATACTGGGGATACATTTTATGAAAGCAGCGAGAGTGGTAAGAACATCAAGGAACTGTCAGAGGAGAGAAGTTCTACTAAATGATGTTTTCAAAAAACTCAAGTGCAACGTGAATTCTTGCAAGCGTCAGGTCTCATAGGAGAGAAAGTATTTTAGGTTAGTTGGTGTTGAAGCAGTAGCTAAACAGATCCTAGTGTTCACCAGACCACACAGCAGAGATCCCTTCCGAGTGGTGCAGTAAGGGCTGCATTCAGAACTTTGACATTTATCAGATGTCACTTAGGAGATAGCACTTAGAAAGGAAAAGAGTTTGGTCTGGCCTTTAATAAAAGTGTAAGGATTAGCTAGTCAAAATTGATGTCCATGAGAATGTGCGCTCCATGAGGGCAGGGACTTGGCTGCTGAATCTACACAACCTTAACATTGACTAGCACTTTTAGGTGTGCTCAGTACTTGTGTTTTAAATAAACCAAAAGGGGGAAATGTATAATATATGAAAGTTGTATCCAGAGGAGGAAACCTGCAAAATAAAATTAATTCAGGACATGACCATTTGTTGAAATACTGAAAACCACTGCAGAAAACCAATCTTCAATATCTATTTTTTAAATTTATTTTTGGTTGCGTTGGGTCTTCATTGCTGCACACAGGCTTTCTCTATTTGCAGTGAGCAGGGGCTACTCTTCATTGTGGTGCTTGGCTTCTCATTGCGGTGGCTTCTCTTGTTGTGGAGCATGGGCTCTAGGCATGCAGGCTTCAGTAGTTGTGGCATGTGGCTGAGTTGCTCTGCGGCATGTGGGATCTTCCTGGACCAGGGCTCAAACCCCTGTCCCCTGCATTGGCAGGCAGATTCTTAACCACTGCACCACCAGGGAAGCCCCCCAATCTTCTATATTAATATGCTATTAGCCTATCGCAACTGGCTCCTTGCCTCCTGCAGCCTCTGTTCTCAAGTTGGGTGGTTTTTTGAGGCCCCGTCTAGTTTTCCAAGGACTGTGTTCAGTAGAAATTGAACTATCTTGTGATTTTTTTTTCTGATGGTACAGACTGAAAAAACATGATTAACTTTACAACAACAGTAACTGCATAGTATACAATTGATTTTTTGGTCTGTCAGTGTTAAGGCAGGGTTTACTGTAACACTTTGAAAGTGTCACAAAGATTGTTTGTCCCTAGAAAAAAATTTTTTGGTTGACCTTGAACTTACTGATTTCTAAGTCTCTGCATTTTCATCCAGACTTTGAAATGTTTGCCTTCTAATTATTGTAGCATTTCTTCTATCAAAACTTCTTAGGTAGGGGCCATGCCATATTCTTCCCCCACATCCATGAGGCAAATACCCAGAAAACTTGTGGGAATTTGATAAAATTATCAAATGTATTATTGAGACAAGACTAACATTTATGTGCTTTTCCCTACTGGTAGCAGTAAAGCACGGTTTCAGGAAAGGAGTATATATCAGAATATATTAGATTGTACATCCCTTTGATCTAGAAATCATATAATTGGAAGTTATTGATTATGAGATTAAAATATCAAAAAATGAGCACCACCTCAATGATGTCACTGAATTTTTTAATGGAAATTAGTGTACAGCTGTAAGAATTTGAGTTTTGATATATTCCTATATTAATCTGAAGCCATTAAAATGATGACAGGGACTTCCCTGGTGGTGCAGTGGCTAAGAATTCGCCTGGCAATGCAGGGGACATGGGTTCGAGCCCTGGTCCAGGAAGATCCCACATGCTGTGGAGCAACTAAGCCCGTGCGCCACAACTACTGGGGCCTTGTGCCACAACTACTGAAGCCTATGTGCTTAGAGCCTGTGCTCCGCAACAAGAGAAGCCACTGCAATGAGAGGCCCGCGCACCACAACGAGGAGTAGCCCACACTCACTGCAACTAGGGAAAGCCCGCACGCAGCAACGAAGACCCCACACAGCCAAAAATAAATGAATAATTTTATTAAAAAAAAGAAAATTATGACAGATACCATAATGGCAGGAGATACACAATATGGGCTTTGAGAGATCACAGATTGTAGCCTTCATAGTATAATCAACCATAAATCTTTGTTAGTGTTTGTGTATGTGTGTGTGTGCACACATGTATGTGTACATGCATAAGATCATGTATAAAGGGATACTCTTCCAGAGTGGTTTTCCTAGGCAAGGAGCATTTTGTGGTATTTTTCCGTTTTATAACTTCATGTTATATTTTTTTCATTGAATAGTGAATATTGCCAAAGCAGGAAATTATTACAATAGAGTTTGAAAAAGTACTAAATAATTATCCCTTGCAGTTAAGACCTCATAATATGATTGTTCTATATTGTCATAAGGCATATAAGATCAAAATTACGGTATGAACTCTGGAAGCCAATTTCAAAAACAAAACAATTCTCAGATTATTTTGAGTACACAGAAAAATTGATGAGTTTCAACAATTGAAGCTTTATTATTTATGCTGTGCTTTAACTACAGATCCGTAATAGGGAGAGGGAAAATCCTGGAGCTAGAAACAAAAGTGGATGTACCTACATTGTGGAGGTTAAAAAAAAAAAAAAGTTTCTCTTGTTGAAAAGATGTGCATGAGGAGAGAACTGAGCATAATAGCAGAGGACCCTCTGCATGGGGAACCAGTAAGGACAAAGCAGGTTTGGATGCCATTCCATACTCAGACCAATGGTGGTATTTTTAGTACAGTTGGATAAAGGGCTTTATTTAGCAAGTTACAGTTGACCCTTGAACAATATGGGTTTGAACTGGGCAGGTCCACTTATATGCAGGGTGTTTTTGTTTGTTTGTTTGTTTGCGGTACGCGGGCCTCTCACTGTTGTGGCCTCTCCCGTTGCAGAGCACAGGCTCCGTACACGCAGGCTCAGCGGCCATGGCTCACGGGCCCAGCCGCTCCGCGGCATGTGGGATCTTCCCGGACCTGGGCACGAACCCGTGTCCCCTGCATCGGCAGGCGGACTCTCAACCACTGCGCCACCAGGGAAGCCCAGCAGCGTTTTTTTTAAAATAGTAGTTACTACAGTACTACATGATCTGTGGTTGGTTGAACCCATGGTTGCAGAATTGCAGATACAGAGGAACCACGCATATGGAAGTCTGACCATAAGTTATTTATATAGATCTGTCTATCCATCCATCCATCCATCCATCCATCTATAGAGAGAGAGGGAGTGCACGTGCTAGGTATTTACAGAAGTAGATATGGAAGTGTGAGGATATACAAACACACACGTGTATGTGGTGTATATAAGCATGTATATCCACGTTTCTATTTCAGGGCTGGAGCAAGGAAAGTATAGAATTATCCTGGAGAAAATTTGCTGTGCCAGAAAGTAGGAAAGAGTGGTGGGACATGTAAAAACATCCAGCTTGAAGAGACTCACACTGGGTAAATCTGAGCAATTTGAACATAAAATAAATAATTATCATACAGAATATGAATAAAAAAGAGGAAGGGAGGGAAGGAAGGGCTCTCATAATAGAATGCCAAGCCATAAATATATAGAAGGAATGATGTAATGTAAAAATCATTATTTACAGCCATTATAGTAATTATAGGTTCTGGCAAGAATAATCAATGAATTATAAAACTACTGGTTGAAAGTTTATGAGGAACAGGATGCTACAAAACCCAAAATATCTCTCCACAAAGTAGTATTAATCACAACAGGAAATACAGTAGGTATAAATTTGGTGAACACTACCTTAGCCAAGAGATGAACATTATCAATAACAGAACAAACCAACATTTTAGATCTCTGGGATACGATGTAGTGAGAAGGACGCAACGTTGCTTCAGTCTTATTACTGACAGAAATAAACAACCACATCTTATCACAAGGAAGCATCCAAGTTGAGAGTCTCCTATTTCACAGTTATGACCACAGGGAGCATAACTGACCAAAGGTCCCAGCTGCTGCTCTTAAATCCGTCACCACGTTCGCATGGAGGCCAGTCTTGCCCCGATTGCTCCTAGTCAACACAGCAGGGATCCTAAGGCAGGCCATTTCTTGGAGACCAGGATTCCTCTGTCCAGTGACCTTTTTTCAAGGACTCCCTGACAGCCTTGAAGGATTTTACTTAGATTACAAGGCAGTCTAGGATGATTTACCAAATCTTTCTTCCAAATCTTCACTCAGGGTCAGACTTGCACTATGAGCTCAGTTCTGCCAGCCTCCCAGAGCTCCCTGCCATTTTCTCTCCGATGTTTTCCCTAATAAAATATTTGTTCATTAAAGTCTTTCTCAGCACTTTGCCATCTAGTTCTTGGAGGACCAGGACAAACCCCAAACCCTAGAAACATCCCTTTTTGGCTCTTTCTAGTAACCTTCCTTTCCATATGGTAGCTGCCAATTTTTTAATGGTGTAGATTCACTTAGCCTATTTTGTACTTTATGTAAATGGAGTCATGTAATAGGTACTATTTTGTGTTGGCTTCATTTGCTCAACAGTATATCTATGACATTTATCCATATTGTTGGGAGTGGATAACTTTGATTCATTTTCATTGGTGGATATTATTGCAGTGTGTAAACATATCAAAATCTATTAATCCCATTATTGGTGGGTATTGGGTACTTTCCCATTCTTCGCTATCACAGTTAGTGGTGATGTGAGCAATCTAGAACGTGCCTTGTGCACTTGTTTGAGGGATATTTCTGTGGGTGGAACCAAAGGGTTATAGGGTATATGTTCAACTTTGGTAGATACAGTTGACCCTTGAAGAATGCATGGGCATGAGAGGTGCATCTGAGTCTTTTATTCCATAGATGTTTTTAAAATATCTCTCACTTTTGGCCCATTAGTGGTGCGTTTGGATTTACAGTGTTTCTTAACCTTAAAATAGTCCAATTTTTCAATTTTTTCTTTCACGGTTTGTGATTTTTTTGGTCTTAAGAAATTCTTCCTACTCCAAGGCAAAAAGGCTGTTATCTTACGTTTCTGTTTCTTTCCTAAAGCATCATTG